CATGATATGGGTCATAAATTTGCCGGCACCCATGGCGTTCGAGCTGTGTTATGATGGTGCGGTATATGCGCAGGTCAGTACCACCTTCATTTTAAACAGGGTACAGAAGGTGGCAGCACCACGAAAACAGCTGCTGCGCGCAAGCTACGGCCTTGAGATAGAATTATACTGCCATCTGCTGCATTTTACCGGAAGGTCGAGTACCTTTAGGTTCCAGCGAAACAGGGTAGAGGGCTTTGCTCTATTTGGCGGGAAAAATAGTAATTTCTGAATTTTTTAGTTTAACAATCGGAAAGAATATTATAAAGATAACGGAATCATCAAGTTTATGTCAACTTTAATATATCAATATGTATTTATAATTTAATCATAGTAAGAAAATTTAATAATCATAAAATATATATATGACTAATATATATAAAACTGTCAATCTAATAATAAATGAAAAAAGGATATACAAAATTGCTAATTTAAAAAATAAAAACCGTTATTTTTTTATGTTAATTATATAAAAATGTGAAGGCCAATAAATAAGCAAACGAGATGTAATTTTATTAAATATATGTGTATTTAATGCATTTTAATGTTATGTGTGTGTACGCATGCGCGTGCGTGTGTGTGTAATCTACGATGAAATTAACTACATATGCATGATATGCTAATGAATCATACATAAAAATGCTAATGCACTGTCATGCGATATTTATAAATCGTGTATACGTTCTAAACAATAACCAATACATGAGCAATCAATTATAGTGCAAGTATAAGAAATATTCATAATTATCATTATAACATTAGTGATAAAACATTTAAATATTTATTAAAGGCTCTACTAAATATGTAAATTTATATTTTTAAATGTAAACTTTATTGTACATATTATTAATCATTGCATACATTATAATTATATTATATTTTTAACCATTATTATAATTTATTATAATTTTATAAGACTGTACATCTCTTCTAATATTTATAGTTTATATTATCTAAAATATAATTAATTTTTGTGTTTTTATTATTATGTAGCATTTTTATTTTATTTATTCTAGTAATTCTTCTTATAAAAATTTTAATTTTCTTTATAACGTTAAATTTTATTTTTTCTTTAAAACATTAAAATCTCTGCAAAACTAAAGATAAAAGAATTATAGATTACATATTTTTTAAGCTAAGCAATAATAATAAGTATACATAAAAAAATATTACACATTTCACAAAAAATATATTTACTAAATATATGTAAATATATCATTTCTTCAAAAGACTGTTATTTTTATTTCTACTAATAGATATTAAAAATAAAAGAAAATAATAATTTAAACAATATATAATTTTTAATGTAATTTT